ATTAGGATCTCAATGTCAATAAAGAACTGATGCCTTTGGATAAAAACAATCTGTGTGGCAATCGAATAATTGATATTGAGATCCTAATGGTGATATTAGCTTCATTATGTTGTCCGGTTTGCTATGATAACAAATTGCATTTAGAAGAAAATTCTAGATTTGAGCTATTATAAATATTATAAAAAATATTTTTTACTTCTAATTATTAATAAAAACTATATTTAGACATATATATTAAAGTGTGAAAATACAGTAAGATGGTTGTTTAATAAAAAATTGTTCCTGTGTTAAATGCTTTATAAGTAGTAGACTTTTGATGTTATTCACTAAATACTTTAAAATATCGCTAAATAATACGTTAAAATATCGCTACGTTAAATAAAACTAAGAAAATGTGTGAAGGAATGTGCCCCCTATAAAATATAATAACTTCCTACTGACAAACATTCATAGTTTTTAGAAAAAATGTAATTATAAACTTTAATTGTGTTTTTCTCAAAATGACAATTTTGCTGTTTTTTGTCTACGGAAAACAAGATAACTCAACTAATTATAATAAATTTGTCTTCAAACTTTCAGAGATTGTTTCTTGTGTTAGTGGTTATGTAACAGACCTCCAGAATTCAGATAACTGTATTATTTTTTGTTTTATGAGATATTTTGCAGTAGATAATGTAATGAAAATGTGAAAAAAAAATGGAAAAATATGGTTAACACTCCATAAATTTTTTTAATTTCATGCTTTAATTTCATGCTTTAATTTCATGCCATAAATTTTTTTAATTTCATGTTGAGGTTCATAACACTTCAGAGGGTTATACGAAACGGCTCAAAAAGTTTGATAGCTGCATGTACAATAGTTTTTTGTGTAGAGTGTTTTCCGTTAATGAGTTATTTTCATTAAAATTATCTAAAAAATACTCTTTAAACAAAAAATTTCCTGTAAATTAAAATTTTCTCTATTAAATATGTTTATTTAAATTAATATACAATATAAATTGCAATAATGTTGTGAAAATTATTTATTTTTCAAAAATTTTGTCCCGAAGGTAGTCGGATACCTTAAGATTCTTAACCGTCAACAAACTAAACAATACTATTCAGTAAGGTAGGGCTCAAAGTTATTCTTGCTTAATATACTATTTTTTTCGCTCATCTTACTCTCACTTTTTAATCTTTGATTTGGAATTCTGCGCAACGCAGTTGAAACTTTTTCACGCTCTGTAACCCATTCTAGAGGAAAAGGGATTTGCATTCAATGGGCTCAACTAACGAAGGTGAAATTTGTAGGAAAGATTTCACTTCCCTCGTTTGTAAAGATGACATTTCTCTCGGCCGCCGCTGAAGATAGGATAAATCAGCCTGTCTCGCTTGCTGACCTTCCCCTAGGCGTTATGTTATAAACAGCAATGTCAAGAAAATAAAAGCAATAACAAATAGCATTTTTTCTTTTTTGTTCCCTTATCTCTTAACCCATTCGCGTTTTTTGATAGAACAAGCAACAGGTTTTATGTGCACTGATACGAGTTGAGAAAGTTCCTTTGGTTCATTCGCACTGTGAAGGGGTGAGAGGGGGATTTTTCGAGAATTTCATCCTTTTAACGTCGTTTCCCCACTCTCTGACGCACATTAAATAGCTAGTTTCTGTCTTCCAACAACAAATCTTAATAGTATCTCCCCTTGGAAGGATTTTTAACTAGCGTAAAAATTTCTCGCTCGTAAAAGGACTGGATTCATTCAAAGATTTGGCATCCTCTCAGTTTCTCTCCTTTCATCATTGAAGGAGGATTAAAGATCTTTTTAAACGTTCATTAAAGATCCTTTTAAACAACGTTCATTAGAAGTAAGACTTAGTTTTACTTTATTGTTTTATATTTAAGTACTTATTATTAATTTTTTACATTTTTATACTGCTGCAATATTTGATTTTTAATGCATGAAATGAAATTAATTTTTCTTTGATTATAAAATTTTTTAAAAATGTTTCGATTTTTCCCGAATTCCAATTGTTGAAGTGGCATTTGCGAAAGAAATCGTGAAGCTTTATTTAATTCTGACTGAACGCTTGCAACTTTCGTACATTTTTAACGTAGACTTTTGTGCGTTTTTTTTAATCGGATGTGTTTATTTTTAATTTAAAATAATTTTCGAGGAAAGATTAGCTTTAAGAGGTATGTGTCATAACAAATAAAGGGATTCAATATTTATTAAAAGGTACAAAACAATATGGCTATTTGAACATAGAATTTTTCTTATCCTATCATAAATGCATTCAAAATTTTATATTGTGTATGAAGAGCTTATGCTTAAACCATTTTCTTCGGTAAAAGGTTTAACCTAATAGATTAAAGATTTTTTTTTACAAAATATAGTTAAATCCCTCTGCTTTAAAGCAAATATGTAGTTGAAATCCCCCCCCCTCAATTACCACCTTACATGCTGATATTTCAGAAAGTTTGAATGTCTAAAAGCAATAAAAGATTTCGTGAAAACTTTCTGAGTTCGTGTTCCCTTCCAATACTAACTTAAACTAATTTTATTTTTCGATTTATTTTTTTGCCTAGATAGAAATTCGCAATTTTTTCTCAGATATTTAAAAAATATTTTCAGAGATTTTTAAGAATTGCAAAACCTAAAATCTAAAACTTCTCTATTGTCATCGGGGATTAACGAAATTAACTCGTTAATTTAGTCAAGGGTAAATCAGTTAAAGATTTTTCCACACTTGATTAACTAAAATTTGACTTAGTTTTTTTTTTATTGGTTCTCTTTGCCATACTGAACAAATGAGTTGAATTGTCATAGCAAAAGTTTTGTCACGTGAAATATGTAAATTTTCTAACTTTCAAATTTTTATTTCGTATTTCTTATGAACTCTACAGGTAAACATTAAAGTTCATTAAACGTTCAATGATTGTTCAATACAGCTATAATGCATATTTCCATTGAGATATAGCATTGTGTAATATAATAGATGATAATAGCTTAAGGAGCTATAGTTTGTCTATAGAACTCGCCACGAAGTCTATGCAAGCAAATAGCGCATTTCAAAAAGTGGAGCTTCCTTCTCCCCTGACTTCACCAACCAAAGCCAGCCCCTATCTTAAATAATGACCAAACACCCCTATTTGAAATGTATAAACCTCATAACTACTGTAGCCGCCATTATTCCAGACAAATGGCTGAGGGAGTTCTTTACATAGACAAACTATACAGTGATTGTGGCAGTTATGAGACGCGTTTTATAACTTATTCACAACGGTGACCCAGTTTTTCTTTGAAGAAGTGGGATCTATTTTTTTTTTGGAAAAATTTCTTCTGAAATTCTTCCTTGAATTTCTTGAAAAAATTCCTTCTTTTATAAATTTTATACACGAAGTCATGCTTGCTTTAAAATCTAACAAGTCGTAGCGTTTTATGTCATCTGATTCTATACTTCATGATTCGTCATAGGTTATAAAAACTTTAAATGAATCTTAAGAGGAGTTCTTTCTTTATTATTCAATGTGTTTTAATTTCCAGTTATCTGATGGGTATTTATTTTTTTTATAGAACTTTTGAGCCAAGGAAGGATTTTCTTCGTCTGTTCATCGCTGTGAATTTATAGTCTTTAAAGGTAAACAAAAGTTGTAATAAAAATGACAACTCTGGTGAGATCAGTTTCCGATGTTTATGACGAATATATGGCAAGTGGAGGTGAGTTGTAAATTTGAATATTTTCTTTTAATTCTAATTATGTATTTGATAAGAAACAATGGCATATGCTTTGAAGTTAAGGATCCCATTCGGAAATATCCTACTTCCTTTGTTAGTTTAGAGATGTGGGCGAATGTTTATTAGATATCTCAAGTTTTTGAATACTTTTACTTTATATTCATTTTTAAAATAATTCTTATAAATTTATTATAGATTTTAAATATGTAGGCATTTTTAAAAAGATTTTGTACTCGTAAACATGTATAAAAAAGCTTTTTAAAACCTTAAAATTTTACTTAGTAACAAGACATATTTAACTTGCACCAGTAACCAATTTTATTTCATAACCGTCGTTGAACAGCCGACGCAATTCGGGTGTGCGACAACTAATATTAAACTACGTATCCTTGTAATTTTGAACCCAATCCAGAAGACAAGGGAACTCCTGGATCAAATATAGGGAGAAATTGGCCTTCGTATTGGCCTTTGACCATGGACCAAATTCCCTACTAACCAGGTTATGCAGTCCCAGACAACGTTTACATTTGTTAATATTCAATGGACATGAAATTCGTTAGCTCCCTTTTCCCTGTCAGTGTAACTTGCATTAATTAAATAGCAAGTAAATTAAATAGTAAATTAGATTAAATAGTAAATTATTAATTAAATAGTAAATTAGATTAAATAGTAAATTATTAATTAAATAGTAAATTATTAATTAAATAGTAAATTATTAATTAAATAGTAAATTAGTAAGTTTTGAATGAGGATGAAAGAATTTCTTTTCTTAAGACATCAAATTAAAATGTATTTGCTAGTTTTATTAATCTAGTGATTAATAAACATAATTTCTCTGAGAATTAAGGTGGTTTTAAATTTTCTTTCTACAAAATTTTGTAACTGACTGATACAGAAAAGATAGCGCTGTATGTAGGAATGGAAATACTTTTAAGGGTAGCATCGCTGCAAAAGGATTGAAGCTTAGATTTAATGATATTTGAACCCAAATTGAAATTTTTTTTTTGCAATGCACCTTGTTCTATTTATTTTTAAATTTTAATATTTAATTATTTGAATTGTAAAAAGATACTTTGATTTTTAAAATTAAGCCTTCATCGGGCTTTTAAACTTTTCACTTTTTATACTCCATACCACATTGTCGCATATGTGGATTTTGATAATATTTCTATTCTCCCTATAAACGCAATTTGATCTTATATGTAAATATTTTCAAGACGTTGGAGACAGTGTTTGCGCTGAAGACTGCGCAGACAAATTCAATTTAGAAGAAAATCAGTTATAAGATGCATGATAAAAATCTAACTTCAAGTACTGGAGAATATGGTTATAGTTATAAGATGTCTTTACTCCAAATGTAAAATAAGAAAGTAAAGAACATTTTACTATTCAATTTAGTATAATTTGTCAAATATGCGTCTTTATATCTAAAAATATTTAACTTTAATTAGTCAAACCAAGTATCAAGAAAGTTTAAAGAAATTTCAGTTCTATGCATCTGCTTAATTTTTAACGTCATCATATGAAAAAATGGAGTGATCGACCATGCTTTCAAGAAATTTCGCATAGCCTTAGTTTAAAAACTATAATCTGGTTATAATACTCGTAAATTTAACATGCAATAATATGAAATGTTGGAGGAATGGTCATAAAATGAGCACAGTTCTAAACACTGATTCAAGCATTATAAAAATAGTAATTTCTTAAATTTAAAAAATATTGTGCAAAAATTTGAATTGATTTGTATTTCATATTTTGTTCTTAAACTAAAATATTTTGAAATACCCATAAAAATAAAAATTTTACTTGAAATATGTTTGAAATGATGATTGAATTTATAAAAATGAAATATCGAATGATTTACTGAGTACCTTAAATTAAACATACCGTTAATTGTTTATTTGGATGTATTCAATATTCAGCAGAGAAATGGATTTTTAAAGGTAGTGACAAATCCTGTTGCATAATTTTAAAGATAATGAACTCTATAAATTTAAAGCAATCTTGAATCTTGTTGTGATATACGTTTATTTCCAAAAGCACTTTGCGTGTGATAAGTTCTATAAACCGATCGCAAAATATGAAATAAATATTCAAAATCAGTAATTTTTAGTTTTTGAATGTATAATTACAATGTGTGTGGATGTTATCAGTTTATAGTCAAGGATTTGTAGAAATTAAATGAGATATATTTGAGAGAAACTAATTTTAAAACTGATTTTTACTTTCATTAATATGTATTAAAATTTTTGCTTAGTAAAAGGAAGATTATAAACTTGCTAAACATCTTTAAATCTTTATTTGTGTTCCATTTTTATCGATCTTGAAGACATTTTAAGGTTGTCTTCCAAGAATATTTTTCAAATTAACAGTTACTCCTTTATAAATTAAGTTAACTGAAATGCATGAGACATCATTTTACTTTAAAAATTATAATATTTAGCGTTCAGTTCCAAAACGTATAAAATGTTGATCTATTAGGGTTATCTTAAATGAGCTTTGCAAACAATGATTTCATTTAAAGACTTTTTATTTCATTTAAAGACTTTTTGATCAAATTTTTTCAGAGTGGCATTTTTTTGAAATATAAAAGTTGTCCCAAAAATGATCAATGGTTGAAACGTTGAAAAGTCAGGTTTCCTGCGTTCTGCTTAGGGAACCAGATAATCTTCAACTTTTTAAAATTGATAATTAAGTTCAACATATCCTTTGCGGAAAAAATGTGTAGTCTGAAAATGAACGGGCAGGTAAATATGCAGGATAGGTTCCTGTTGGAATACTTTAATAACAAAGCTTGCTTTTATAACATGCTTCGTTCCATTTTTATTGCTGTTTATAACAGTTACGCATAGTTGAAGTTTCTATCTTTAAATGCTTTCCTTTATGATAATTGCGAAAACTACGCAAAATGTTAATGCTGTCAATTTTCAGAATGAGAAGCATTGGTAATCTAATTTTTGTTAGAAAAGTTACCTCATTGTTTGCATTAAAAAAAAACAGTATACGAAAATTCAAGTATTCATAAATCTTAATTTTTATCTAGGATGAAACATTTTGCCATTCTGGCAATTTTTCAAGAAATTTGATTTTAGAAAAATTTAAACTTGTCCATTTTAAATTCATGTCCATTTTCCATTCTAAGTTCTTCTCTTCCATTTTAAGTTAGATAATATGGAAATTTTAAAACTTCGTTTAAGAAGCAGTTTAAGCGCTTAAATTGTGATTTTCATTTCACTTGACGAGAGCTCACAGAACAATTTAATTGATTTTTGCAAATCTATAGCTTTGGAGACTCGCAATGTCAAATGTTAATACAAGTCTAATGGAGAAACAGACAACAATCAATCAATAATGGTACTGTTGCCAACACCAACTGATAATGTACAGAATTATCATGACACGCAATATCTAATGCCTTACAGATTTCAATACATATAATTATACTTCACATTAGAAAAAGAAAAAAAATTGAAATTTATCAAGGATTATTTGTAATCGCCACATCAATTTTACTGGGTCGTGTATACAAAAATTTCCATAGATCCGTAACGTACTGGCTAATGTCTAAAAACCATGTAAAATGTTGCAAACTACATTAATTTGACTAGCGTACTTGAACTTGTCTATTCTTAAATGTTAGCAGCAGCTTACCGTGAACTTGTTTTCTCTTCAGTCAAGTTCTCAGCATTGACCTGAACGGTCGATAATTAACGAAATATTTTTCAATGACAATCATTTATAGATTTTAAACGAATCTGTTCGCTGGAATATTTTTCGCAGAAATGCATTAAAAAGAAACTAGGAATGGGATTAAAGTTTAAATACACAATAAATTTACTTAATTTCTATTCACTTTTTCTTTTTTTTTTCATACGGAAAATATTTCGACCAAAGCAAGACCCTAATGTTAGCTTCTTTTAAAAACTTGACTGATTCTAAATTGAGGAAAAACAGTGACTATTAGATGAAAAGCTTACTTCTAATAAAACAAATGTTATTGAGACTGTCTCGTTAAGATTCTGAGCGCAAAGAATGCAAATGACGTGGTAGAAATACTGCCTGCGGTCATAATGGCGTTTTAAGTTGCCTACTCCTTTCAATCGTTATATTTAAATCGCTGGATATTCCATAACCTCAACAAAAATACTTGAAAGATGTGTTCGTAAAGATGTAATTCAACTTGCGCAATAGTTGACTCAAAGTAGGAAACTAAATTCAGGGGGGGGGATTGAACACTTATTTATTTAAATTTTTATTTTTTAGTGAAATTTCATATTCATACGGATGAAATAACATTTGCGTTTTGATGATTGAAAATGGTAATAAGTGCCATCTTAAACTAATCTTAATCACTTAGACACATTCTTTTAAAATCTTTTCTTTTTTTTGCAGACTAAAGTAAATGTCATACTGAAGTATGCGTAACGTATTTCCTAATATTTGAAAAGTAAATTATTATCTTATTTAATCCTTTTTCAATTAATAAAAATAAGCAAATTTCCTGGATAGTACACATGGATATGCAAATACCAAACTAATAACTTTGCTTAAGATAGAATTTTGATCTATTTTTAACAATTTCGACTGAAAACTTGGAGTTGGTTTTCTTAGAAAATTTTACTTGATGCTAATGTTTATTTTTCAAAAGGGAATTTTCTAAATAAGAAGCTCTAAGTCTCCCAATTGTATAGAAACATGTATGCTCAATTGCATTTTTCAGTGAGAAATTAAAATTTAATTTCAAGAACTAATTTGATTTTTCGGCTAAATGGTTTCTAAAATGAGTAAATTTTCATCAAATTACGATTTATGGCAGTGTTAATTACTCGTTTGCACCAATTTGTTGATTGCACTGAAGTGTGAAACAATTGCTGAATATAAGACTTAAATATTTTAACTGAGCCGCGGACCCCTTAGTGGGCTGTGTGAGATAAGGCAATCGGTGACTGCCAATAAGGTATAACTTGGATGCCAGATTCCGTGTAGTATTCACTGAAGAAATTCTTTGTCTGCAGTTTTAACTTTCGTTTTAAAGATTTTTACTGTAATTACAACTCAACGAGAGATTTTAAATATTTTTGCATTTTAAATATTCTGAAAACTTCTTAAAGAAGCTGATCTTAGACAAAGCGGTGCAGCGTATCAAGCTATATTAAAGAAAAGTTCTGTATTTTTTATAAAAACATTTATTTACAGGAACAACTACAGTAACGGAATTAAAGTTCCCATAACGGGAAAGTAACAACTTTTCGAACCAATATAGAAAACCCGTAACGGGTTAGTACAAACCTCAATTTCGAAAAACAAAAAACTAATCTCTACAAAATCAGCTTTTTGTTCTAATTTTATCGTCTGCTTTTATTTTTTAAATGTATCTCTTTATGTTTATTTTATTTATGCTTTTGCCAGCCCGTTATTTTTAAATATTTATAGATTTTATAGCTGTCGCACAACCATTCAGATTATTCAATTTCGTAAAAAATATTTTATCCATAGTCGAAATTAAATTTGTATGAGTGGCGAATTCCATTAAGGGCATTAGTCTGGTTCTTTTGCCGAATCGATTATACCAATCAGTGTCCAGGGATTTAACGAGTATGCTATTTCTATTCTAGATCCGAGGGTGACGGAATGGTTTCTCATGGATGGACCAGGACCAACCATTATGTTAGTGATACTCTACGTTCTATTTGTGAAGAAAATTGGTCCAGCCTGGATGGAGGACAGGAAACCCTTCGATCTGAGATACGCAATGCTTCTTTACAACGCAGTCATAGTTCTCACCAATTTTTACCTCATTCTAGATGTGAGTATTTATTCTCAGTTGGCAACTGTAAACATTGCAAACTGCAAACATATTATGGCAAATAAAATTTATCAGGCGATTTATTATTCATGATCATAACTGCATTTGGTTAATGTGGTGGTTTGTAGAATATATTTAGCAAAGCAACCGGTTCATTTTGTATAGTCATAGTGACGTAACGACAGGAATGCAATTCCGTAGCCTTATAGATTGTCTTAACTACGTTGCTTATAGGTGTAACTTAAACCATTATTTGGCATTCAGTAGAATACCTAAAATTGGCCTTAAGAGATGCAGAATGTTTAATACTTCACTCACTTTGTCTTGTGATTCCATTAAATGACAAATGAATCGAAGAAAAATTGGCTATATTTTTGTTTATAAGTTAACACGGTATAGCACGTGAGTTAAGTCTTCACTCCGTTTCTGAATTTATTTACATTTTGCGTTTTGTTTGGAAGCATTCAAAAATGCGATTTAACTTAAAATTTATTCAACGAAAAATGCATATTCTGAAATTTAAAAATCGCAATCTCTCTATGCATTAAGTTTTCGAAATGGAACTACAAAGGAGCACATTAGAAACTAAAAATTAATTTTAGCTCTAATATTTCGATTCTAAAATACATAAGTGTAGAGCCTAAATAAAGATATTTAAAAGTTTAGTGATAGAAATTAGCTTTATTTAAAATATGGTTCCCTTTAAAATACGGTTTTAGTTTAAAATGTTTTTCAAAAGTGTAACTTAGTGATAAAATGTTCCAGTCTTTCATTTGAGAAAAAAAACCTGGTTTTTATTAGTTTTATTCGGGGTACACCGTTGTGACTTAAAAGAACCATTTATTGACATTTTAAATTGTATAAAATAGTTTTTTTTATTTAGTAAATATATTTTATTCGCTTTCACGAATTTGAAGTTACATAAACAATGCTATTAGAGTTGAGTTTTGATTTATCACTAAACTGTATTGTAGGCGACTATGCATAATAAAAGGTAATTATGTTATATAAGCTTTAGCTTATGATATTACGGCAGCATATACTCTATCTGTAATACTTTTGAATACATACTAAATTGGTAGGTTTTCAAAAATGTATCACATAATAAGTCAGACTGCTAATTTCGAAAACAATTTTAGTGAAACTTTATTAGTGCGTCATGAAAGCTAAATTTTTGTCTATAAATTATTTCATTTCATTAATGTTCAAGTTAAAAAAATTAAATTACTCTCTATACAATTGGAAGAGATTTTTGAATGAGCGCATCTTTCAATGCATAGACCTTTTAATAAGTTTGAATGCATAATTGCCTTCAGCAGCAAGAGGTCTATTTTTCTTTCATTTGTCATTTGTGAATGAAACGTACATAGACGCGAAGGCCATTCTTATACCCCATTAGTTGTAATAGTTTTTTTTTTTCCATCTCACTATGCTTCTCGCTTCGGTGAACATCTTAAGTATTTTTTAAATACATATAGTTATAATAGTTTTTTTCCTTTATTACTAAAGTGTTACCATTATCAACTTTTAATCTAATGATGGAATGATCCAACTTTCAGATTAAAAATTCCGATTTTATAAAGGATACTTCAATATATTCTAATGCTCTCAATATACTCTAAACTAAAATGCTTCCTCATTTTTACTCTTGAGTTTGTGACGAGGAAATCTCTAAATCTAAATTTTGAGCTTTTAGAATATGAAGATCATTCAATTTTCATCTGGAATTCAGAACTTTACATGCTTTGATTTCTGTACTTTTTTAAACACGTAAGTGCCTCCAAAAAAGCCCACCTTGAATAACTTTTGATCTAATTTTCACGTTTTAGGACTCATTCTGGGAAATATGGTGCAAATAGTTTGGTTAGGAGAGCTCTCCAAAGTTTGCCCTCCTTAATGTTAAATTAACTTTTTGCGTAGTTCGCTATATCTCACACTTTTTTAGTGAATTGAAAAATTTTTAAAAACAATTATGAAATTCGTTTGTCCAAAGATAGTTCCATTCAAAAAATACTTTTAGCAAATATTTTATTTAAGAATGGTCAGAAAATTTGAATTTTCAGATATACAATTTTTCATTTCAATTTAAAGAATTATTACATGGCAAAATACGAAATTTGAGCCATTCTTTTTTGACCATTCTTATATAAAATTAATTTATACTAAAAGTTATTTTTTGCCTGGAGTTATCTTTGGTAAAACGACTTTTATAATTGTGTGCAAAATTTTTTTCAGTTCACATAAAAATTCATGGGCTATAGCGAAATATTAACATTAAGGTGGTCAAACTTTGGAGAGCTCTCCTTACAAACTATTGGCACTATATTTCCCAGATTATCAGAAATCCAAATCCGTCGGAAAAAATGGTATTTTATTCAGAGAAAGTATGTTGTGTCCGATTTCGTAAAATATCGTCTGCATTAACGAATTTGAGGTCATCCCCTTGAGCCTTTAAAATAGAGTGCTAGAACGTGAAAATCAGATCATTAGATTAAAAGAAATTTTGGGTAGTCCAATTTTTCTTTTTCTTTTTGAAACACTTTGGTCATATCCTTCAAGTTTAGATTTCGGAGATGAAGACTATGGTAACAGAAGTTAAAAGCATTTGACGTATATTTTCAAAGTATATTTTCAACGTATATTTTCAAAGTAGACTTTTCAAATTATTAGCATTTTGATCAATTACCGTGAATTACGTGCTCAGTTTGAAATGCATTTCAAACTGAGCAGAGTATTATTTTTCATAATTATTTGTCTTTTTAATTAAGTTTTTAATGATTTTTGAGCAAAACTTGTGTTTAAGTGTTTTCATAACAAATATTAGACGAGATTTTCTATGCTCTAAACAATTATTCCTATCTTAAAAAAAGACTCTGAATAGATTTGCAATAATGTCAACAGCTTCACTATCTGTAAAATATTAGGCTAAAGCTTTCAGAACTTTATTTAGTTTTGTAGATAATTTAAGTCCCTCTTTATCATAGACATAAATAAAGGAGGAATTTTGTATATTTATTTAAATAAATTACATATTGTGGTTGCTAAGTTCACTTTCATTCAAAATCACAAACTACGAAGTGTGCAATAAGATTTTTTATTGTCACTGGAAATTTTTTTTTTCACAATACAGTAAGAATGCTAATTTTTGGAGTTATTTTTCATAATGTATGTGAATGTGTTATTATCTAAAATCTGCAATTAAATTATTCGTTTAAGTTTAGTATTATGAAGTTTAATATTTGACTTATTCTGAATTGAACTGTGAAATTTTTTTGCACGATTCATATACATACGATAAGACTCTGATGAGGAAATTAGTTTAAAAGAGTTTGAGGAATTCGTACTTCAGCTAGATTGAATTCCTGAACGAAAAATTGCACGAACACTCATTAACTTTAATTTATCATTTGTGTTCAACAATGCATTTTAATTAAAATCAATTTTTCATTAACGCTATTTGCATTTATTTTTAAGTTTCTTTTCATGTGAAGACTAACAAGTTTCCTTCGAATGAATTGTTTCATTGACTTTAGTTAAAATAAAAATTAATGTCTTAAGCTCGTTAAAATTGTGGCCAAGCGTTTATAATTCAGAAACTTTTTTAACAACCAAGATAAATGGTTTATTATTTTTATACCTTATTCAATCCAAACTAGTCTTTATGCATTTACAATCATTAGTAAAGAGTTGAGGATATGTTTTCAAATCTATTATTCAATACAATGATTGACATATTGTAGACAAAGCCATCTTTGACATTGAGTTAAGATTCATCAGATTGCATATTCTAATCTGCTCGGTTGGTGGTATTAGGTATTAGATGTTTTGACCTTTCTATTTTGCAGCGCGACAGGGTCGGTTTCATTAGTTGTTCAGACTGAAATTTTGGGATTCTAATATATCTAATTTGTTTTCCTTGTAAATGCTTCGTTGCTTGTTTAATTGGCAAGATTCGTTTTTCTAAATAACCAAGGCTAGCTAATGGCTATTTTCCTCGTAACATTTGCAAAGCAATATGACAAATTTTAATTAAATTCTTTTCCCTTTTTTTTAATGAATAAAAGAAATTTCAGTTTATGAATAAGGAAATCAAGACTTTGAAAATAAGCATTCAATTAAACTAAATATTGGCTTTTTCAGTTTTAGACCAGCTTTCATGCTTAATTTTAATGGATTCCTTTTAAATATCGAAGTTTATGCAAGTAGATTTTAAAGAATTTAAATCTTTCAATCCTTTAAAAATAAGAATGAAATTTCCTTAGAACGGACCAGTTATTATGTAAAATTGAATTCAACAATTTGGAACAAAAATAACTCCCTAGATTTATGTAGTGATCGGCTTTTCAAGTTGTGATAGGTTTAGGTTGCAAAAGGAAACAACAGTAAGCATTAAATTTGTGACTGCAATTTCTAATCTATTCAGTACATTTTCAGTTTTAAAACAGTGTACTTTCTTTTACAGACATTCCGAATTTTGCTAAAACCAAACCACAGTTGGACTTGCAGAATCGACAAAAATAAATACGATCCTGATAACGTTCGAGTAAGTTTTACTTCTGGATTTTGATTTTGATTTTCAACTCTGATTGTTCTATAAAATTGGTTTCTTTATTTTTTTGCAGTTGGCAGAATTGGGCTGGTGGTTTTTCTTCATAAAATTTATAGAATTTGCTGACACAGTAAGTTCATATTTATCATATATAGAATTCACTCGTATTTACAAACAGCGCTCAGTTTAAATGGTTTATGGAAAAAAATATTCCCCCCTCCTGATGAATTAACACAGGTTTAAATACCAGCGATGGTTAATTCGTAATGCTTCCAACTAGTACAGATCACAATGTTGAAAAATATCCCCAGTGGTAAGTGGATCTTGGGTTAGTCCTTTGGTGCCGGTCTCACCGTTGGAAGCTTTAGGTGGTTTCCCCTTCATTAACGTAAGAGCGTACTAGTATTAAGGAAGCTTGCCACAATACTTGGGATGTTACTTCTCTCGTCCTTTGGAACTAGCTTAAAATTTCAAATCTACGGATTTGAAGATTGGTAAATCCAATACGGATCGATTGTTCAACGATTATGAAATAAAATAGAATCGTACAGAAAATCTAAACTTAACGTGTATTTTTGTAATTTGTACTAAACTCGAGGCACTTGTTTTTTTTTTTAAACTACAGCCAACATAGTTTCATTTCCAGTTCTTCGATCGGAAAATATTAAATTAAGGTCCAGTCAAGCTTTGATGGTCTAGATTATTGTAGTTAATTATGGAAACCAATTTGTGTAAAGTATTTCTACAGATTTCGTTGCATTAATTTGGAAAAAAAATCCAAACTTACTATTCTCCTAATTTAGTTTTCAGTTAAGTAATAGTTCTTATAAATATCAGATTTGAGGAGAGGTGATTTAATTTATGTCATGACATCAAATGTAACTAACTATTATTATTGCCACTTGACAACATGCTCACTAAACTCTAAATGTACCCAAAATATTGGGCTAATGTTATGCTCAGCTATACTTAAAACAATTAAAATAAGTCGGCTTTTAAGGGAAAAATGTTTTTGCTATAGCTACGCTGTAAAAAGTATCTCAATACCAAAAATGACTGCAACTACTTTGCAATAAAACTATGTAGTGAGACAATATTCCCAGCTCCTATGGACCTATGTTTCACTACACAGTGAAAGTTCGATTACTCTTTGGTTTAAAGTTAACCCCCTTTTTTTATTCGGAAATACTAAAATTTATAAAGTAAGAGGTGATACATAAGTCTGAAGAGTTATTTTTACTATACAATATGAAGCAAGAATCATTCATTTAGGGTGCAAGTATGAAATATTCCTTAAAATTAAACTAGTTCAATAATCACATACACAAAAGCAAGGAGAGAATATAAATTCGAACAACGTTTAACAAAAACTGAATCTGATAGCAATAAAATATTAAAATTATTCAATATAATTGACAGATTTATGCAGACAATCTCATGAGAACATGGTTATCTTTGTTATGCAATTAAAATTATGTATGTTATTAGTGTAATGCTGTTTAAGGGGAATGATTTTGTTCAGCATCGTCGAGGCGAAATCACTTTTCCTTGCAAAGAATCGATCGTCTAACAATTGAAAGATTTAAACAGATTGATGAAAATAATTCCTGAATGGAGTGAGCTTGATTTAAGCTTTATCATTTATTGGAGTTAAGATTTAATTACATCTTTTTTTCGGTATTAAATTGAAATTACGCAATTTTTAGTTTTTCAACACCAAATTCAGGTACGTTTTTATAGTGCAGATTATGCTAAATATGCTTTTAAGTACACTGAGATGTCAACTTTTTCAAATTCAATTTTTAAACATTAAACAAATGAATTTATGTGTATCCAAAATATGCTATTTTTATCTATTAAATGAATATACTTTGTGAAATCTCAATGAGTTAGCGTGTTGTGAAATTGAAATTTTTTTTCTTTTATTCAGATTTTCTTTGTTCTGAGAAAGAAAAATAGCCATATCTCGACTCTTCACGTGGTTCACCATGCTGTCGTTCCCATTGCCGTTTGGGGTGGACTGAGAATCGAACCTGGTAAGTTTTCTTTATTATGAAATCTTAACTGCATTCACCTTAGGTGGTTAACTGCATTCACCTTTAAAAAATGTTCCACGAATCTGAGCTATCCTAATTTTTCTTTTTTGCTTTTGACTTTACAACGGAACCAATTTACAAGGGTTTGACCAACTTACATTTAGTATGACTTTTTTACCATAAAGCAGTATAGCATATTTAGTCTCTGATGCAAATTATATTCAGCAGACTATTTAAGTATAGCAGTGTAAGCCACGCGACAAATTAAGGTCACAAATATAGCCTAAGAATTGTTTTTTTTCAAGAAAATAAAATTTGAAAAAGTTAAAATTTTCTCTCCTAAAATTAAGATTGCAGTTGTTTCTATTTACTTATTTACTTAATTACAATAAGACATGGAAGTTAACAAACTTAACCGTTTGAGTGCTGAAGAGTTTTCTTACATATATGCTAATAGTGTGGAATGAAATGCGTAGTAATTTCATCGCACAATAAAAATCACAATTGAGTAAAATGAATAAAAACTGCGATTGATATGAATTCAACTGCTCTCAATAGATGGGAAAATTATACTAATCCACAGCAGCGTCTCCGCATATTCTGTACAAAACAAGCGAAACGCGATAGCTCTTGGCCGGACTCAAATGATTGAAACAGTATTGGTAAAAATATTTTCAAAAATGTAATCAGAAAAATTACTTTAGTTACCCCAGTGGTTTCAGTGACTCTGGATGACCGAACTGTCGCTTTATTTGGTTGATCTTACCTTTTGCTCATTCCGTAGGCAATGCCTTGTGTTTTGTTACCGTAAGATGATCATTCATTTCTGATTGCTTTCTGAATTTAAGTAAAGATATTTTAATAATTTTGCGAATCTGATCTGATTTTGCATTGCATGTCATGAAAATTTGATATATATTTCGAAATAACACTGTGTTGAAAGGAAATTTTTCTTTCTTTCAGGAAGTTATAATTACTTTTTCCCCTTGATCAACACAATTGTGCACACCGTCATGTATTCATATTATGGACTTGCCGCTCTGGGACCCAAGGTGCAAAAATTCCTCTGGTGGAAGAAATACCTCACAACATTCCAAATGGTAAATACTTTTCCTGAATTAGACTTTTCACCTTTGCAAAAATTATCATCACTTTAGGCTAACTGGCTTATCAATTTCGTACAGTGAGTTTACAATCTTCAGATTCTATGAGGTGCCTTAGTGACTACTGATCATTGTTACCATAACTTTGGCGTATTGGTATTCAATTGGATAAAATCTTCATAAATTAGTGACAGATTATCTTCCCTTTTATATCTATTCAAAAACTAAAAGAAAGAAACGTGTGGTAGAAAGAAACGTGTAGATGGGTACTTTGGAAAGATCTTAGAATTTCCAAAGTACCCATTAATCGACAAATGTTTTATTTTTAAATTTAAGAAATATTTATTGCAATTGTAAAAAAGTTAAATTTTTCTAAACCAGAGCTTTTAAATCATGTAAACCTAAACGAAATAGTCTTATTTCGAATATTTACCCTTCAAATTTATCTGCCAAAATATAAATGAAAAAACTATAGATGCAAAAGCGGTTTTTAACCACATAAAATTTCAACTTTTTTCTACCAGCTGCACGATCTAAAGATGTCTTTTCCCTCTTAGTTTGATTAGTATAGTGTGTTAACTTGACGATGTACAGTGCACAAAAAGAAAATAACCCTGAATAATTTTTGATCTAATGATTGGATCTTCACGTTATAGTACTAATTCTTAATGGTTTGAGGGGGTGACCACAAATTTGCTAAATTTCAATTCGTTTAATTCTCGAGGCATAGTGAATTACACAAAAAATTGAATTAATACTAAGGGGTCCAAACTTTGGAGTGCTCTCCCGACCAAACTATTCAGACCATATTTAGCAGATTGCGGCTACCTCCGATATTTTGGGGTTCAGAAATGCGAATCCATCAAAAATGTGTTTATTCTAAAAAAGCATGTTTTGTCTGATTTCGTAACTAAAAATATCTCCTTAATCTAATTATCATACTTGAGGGCATCCCATCAAGCCAAAGTCCCAAAAGTGAAAATCTCATTATTAGACCAAAAGTTATTCAGGGAGGTAAGTTTTTATTTTTTTACTCGCTGACTTTATGACAGATTTCTACTCCATCTTTTGCCATTTAATTCATTCTAGACTCGAAGTGCCCTACAAAAATGTATTTAAATCTACTAGCTAAATGAATTGAAAATCACTTAAGACAAATCACCTACGTCAATAACCTTCGCACGCTAGTAAAATCATTCAAGATGACTGCTAATGACTAAAGGGTAGTTCTTTGAGGTATTCCTTTAACAATCATCTTGAATGATTTTACTAGTGTGCGAAGATTATTGACGTAGGTGATTTGTCATACTTAGCACATATTCGAGCACATGACGGAAGTTAGCAATTTAAATCGCAATAAAGCTACAGATTAAAATTCATTCGCATATCATGGTAAATATCAATTAGTTTGGTCTATAATGCCGGACGACACTTATAATGCCGGATGGACATGTGTTAACATATACAGTGCTTCAAACGGAGTTTGATCGATAATGGTGCATAAGGGAAAATAGTCTGGACTCAAACGGGTAGTGTTTTGACGAGACTTCATTTTCCATAAATTCTTAGTAAGAAGATGCAATGTTGAGTCTATTAAAAACATTGAAGAGATCAGAGAATATTCCTTAATACTTGTTTCGAGAGTAAATAAAAAGTAAATAAAAAAGATGTACCTACACAAAGGATTAATAGTTCTGGCAAAATAAACATTTAAGAATATTTTAGACATTTTAGTATTTTTTTGGAAAACCAGTTTTGTATTTGTATGCAAAACTTTTTTTGTATCATATTTTGAGAACAAAGATACCAAATTTATATGAAAAAGTGGTAACTTTTCAGAATGCGTATTTGTCTAGTTGTGTAATTTAGTTTAGTATTAAAATATTTGGGATGAACCTTTTTGACTTAAGAGTGGAGCTTTGTTATCCAATTATAAGATTAAGTTTCGTGATTTCGCTTTTAATGGTTCATTGTTATTTTTAATTTTTAAAGTTTTATTATAAAGATCGAAATTAACCGATTATTGTTGTAATGTAAGTGCTTAATGTGCATATTTTTATTACAGATCCAGTTTGTCATGGTATTTTTCTATGTACTCAACCTCATGATCACTAGGTGCCAAGTATCCAAGTTTATCATTTATTTGAACACATTTTTGGCCGGACTTTTCCTTCTCATGTTCTACGACTATTTCCAGAACACCTATATGAAGAAAAAGGCAGTAAGAAAGCAACGAGCCCTGGAAGAAGAGAACAGAGCCAAACTTGCTTCCAGTGACACCGCCAGCAAAATGAACGGTCAAATTCCCACAGTTTCCCAAAAAGTTTTAGAGAAAGAAATAAAGAAAAACGGATACGTGCAACCAGTACAGCTGAACGAAAAATCTGAATGAACAATCTGTGTCACTTAAAACTAAAACTAGATCGGTCTGAACTATTGACTTTTGAGAAATGGTGTTTTCTGAAAACACAGTTTTAAGCGAGGACAATCTGTTCCATTATTGTTAAGTTTTCATATTGACGGTATTTTGTAAGCACAAGTTTTTGTTAATTTCAGGCAAATATTTTATGACAAACACCGGTTCGATGCTTTATATTGTTTTACTGCAAGGTTTTCTATTTAATCTAATATTCTATACATTTTTAAGAAATTATGCAATATGTAAATTTAAGTTTTCGATCAACTGAAGACGCTAAAAGTGAAATTAAATTTGAATTATTAAAATTTCCATTTAAAAGTTTTAAATTGTTCCCTAAGTATTAAGATCTTTGAGTATTTGTTTTGGAGTTGTAAAACTAAGAAATACGTTTCCAGAAAAATTGCTAATTATTTTTTGAAGTGTTGTGTTGATCATAATTTTTATTAAAGCCGTAATTTGAGTTTTGGTAATTAGATTAAAAAGCAGTGTTACATAATTGTTTTTCATCGGTAAATGTATAGAAATGTTAAGGCTTCTGAATATCGAAAACTTAAAGTAAACACGTTAGAATGAGCTAAATATCATTTTTTTATGTAACTGTCGAATTGTTTACATAAATTTAAGTGTTTTAAAGATTCAAATTAACGTGTTTAAAATAGTAAGTTCGCAGCAGCTCAGGATTTAGCGAAATTCTTTTTAACTCTTATATATAGGGTTTTAAAACTGGAATTTGTTACAGTAAAATGATCATTTTATCTTCTGTAAAGAGTTTTAACTCAGTGTAAATTTCTGTAAATATTCCTTCATTTCTTAGACTGTACATTTAATTGCTTTCTTCTGTAACTAAACACAACGTTATCTCTGTATAATAATCATATAGGAACGACCATTTTTTGATGGTTTTTTTTGGGGGCAAATATTTTTGTTTAAATGGAATTTGACACTTTCTATGAACGTGTATACAAATTTGTTTTATTTATGAATAAATGTTTGTTTAAATGTTGATTTTTATTTAAATTGCACAATTTCTCTTTAGAGTACATTATTATCAATTGCCTTACAGGGATTCGTTTTCGAAAGTGTCTTTATTATTAAAACAGAACAAACAAATAAACTATATTTTTCGCAAGTTCCTTGATTCTAACGAGAGTAATTTAAGGCATCTAAATTTTCAATACAATCTTGTTGCATCAAAATCTTCGGAATCAATATATCATCGACCCAAATTCAGTATTTGAAACATTCAGCTAAATCTAACGCAGCAAAATTTGCAAATTAAGGTCCTTAATTATACATAAAAACTTCTGTTTAATTTTATACAGTGCTAAAAATTGGAATAAATCCTTATGAAGTTATGCCAAATAGTTTGTTCGTTGCAGAGTTATTAAATTTTTAATTTTATCAGAAATAAGTTTAGATGTTTTAAAGTCTCAGCATTCCTTTCAGTTGTTTGCTTTTTGAACACAAAAAGAAAGTTAAAGCATGATCTGCAGATGCTGTAGTAATCTAATTCAGTCAACCACCGTTATATAACCATCAAAACTCACATTTGGTAGAAGCCCGCTAGCTTTTAACTCTAAGAAAGACTCATTTAATGCTAAGATATCACGTTACCGTTAATGACTGTTATAGTGGTCCGAGTTTCTGGCAATTTGTAAGCAAACTACGCATATAACCATTCCGTATATTTCAATTATAAAAAAGAATATTATTTGTGCGAAATGTAGTAATGTATTTGTTAACTACTTTGTAATAAATCGAAAAAAAAAATGATATTCCAAGTAAAATTTTTTTCTGTTTGGGAAGAAAAAATGTCAAGCGCAAGTGACTGTTACAGCCATCTAGTTTTCATGGAAAACTGACAAAATGTGACATACGACAAGACAGTGCTATTTTTTTTCCTAACATATCACTGGCACTGAATTTTATATGGCAGTTTTAAGCAATTGAAATGACGTGTCTATCTGATCACGATCGTCAAGTCAAAAGGAAAGCGGCAACGAGTTTCTAGGGGGAAATAGATTTTTCTTAATGGAATTCTTTAGCTTGTCATTGACTAAATTCTCTGTATTTTTAACTTATTGATGAGGATATTGCTTTTGTGACGTGACGTTTTCTGCTGAATGTTTTTTTTCGCGGAAAAAATACTGAAAAAATTTATTTTTTAAATATAATTTTTTTGGTTCAAGACAAAAAAAATATATATATATGACATGTTTGAAAACTAGATAAAACTTTCTACAAAATCTGTATCTATAGTATGATCATAGGATAATAAACATGAGAATTACATTAAATATCGAACTAATGAAAATTGCACTGATATCATTACTATAAGAGTTTCAAGGTAAAAAAGGAAAAGGACTAATAGAGATTTGATATTTAATAGAAATTCTATTCTTGGATCTAGTTATATATGAAGAAAATGACTTTTGATTTCCCATACATTAAATGTTACAGTAGAAAGGATAGTTGTTTTAGAAAATGATCATTGACTCCGTACCTATTCAAGAAATATGAAAAAGAAATTCAAAGATTTCAAGCGTGTTTTCTATCTTTATCAGTGCTTCAGTGCAATTATTTAGAATTGAATATTCTTGAAATACAGTGAATATTGCAGTGCAAAAGTCGATATTTTTTGAAAATAACCGAGGATACTTCGGATATCTATTTGAATAATGTAACCTTTATGGTAAAATAAACTTCTTTTTTTTTGTTTCCGATTTTTTTACATTGTCGGGTTAGTATTTGTTTTATCTAAACTTTTCATTAGCATCGAAAAGGAACCATCAAAATTAAAACAGGGAAGATCTTTAGAAATTACGTTTTTATGGGAAGGGGAACACAGTGGGGACTTTTATTGCTAATTAATAAAATTTTAAAATTATGGACAAAAAATCACATTCTAAACTTTATTTGAAAAAAAATATTAAAAGATAGTCCAAAAACCTTGGTTTTTAAGAACGTTTAATAAAAATAGATTATTTGAAAGGTGATGGATTTAAGAATATACTGAGTGGATGGAAAAACCCCCAGGAACGTAATTCAAAAGTTAAATGAATATTTAAGAAAAGACAAAAATAAACAAATATCTTAAAAATAATGATTTTGGGAAAGGTTAGGAAAAATTAGGGGGTACTCCTCTTAGTAATGGAATGTATTTTTTAATATTTCACTAGCTTTCACAAGCGAAATTTTATAAAATTTCAAACGTCTTTTAGTTATTCTCCCTTATTTTTCAATTAAAGAACATCAAACCCCCAGCGCTGTTATCATTTGTTTGTATTCGTAATTCTTTGAAATTTTATAGATTTTGTAATAATTTTTTTCATTTTTTATAATATTTTTTATTTGTAATAATTTGATTTCCTTTGTAATAATTTTGTTTCATTTGTAATATTTTTTTTTCATTTGTAATATTTTTTTTTCAAATATGTTGTCGTCAAAAGTTTTCGATACTAAACAAAATACAGGGTTACACACTCACAAAAATATATTTTTCTAGCTTTTTTCCTTGACTAAAAAGAACATATTTCAAGAAAAAACTTTTGGACGCAAAATGCGGATCTTTGTGTTTAGCAACCCCCAAAAAATATAAATATATTCAAAATAAATATTGGTTGGGCTGAACGTAATACGAAATAAAACAAATCTTAAGTGTTTAAAATGCTGTTAGAATAAGCAAAGAAAAAAGTAATTTAAATTATTCAAGAAAAGTAACAAAATTGTTTTTTTCCATTTTTTTATAGAAAAAGGTAAGTTATTTTAAAATTTTGGTATTGACAGAACCACATTTTGAATAATAGTAGCCATTTCATTGATAAGAATACCAATAGTTACTAGTAGTAACCCACTGTGACATTCAAATATCTAAAGAGCTTATGTGAGTGTTTCTTCATTGTATAGTATGGAATTTTTAGAAATAAGTAAATATACCGAAGAGCCATTACATTATGACCACCCTGCTAATAACATGTAGGACCACCTTTAGTCCTCAAAACTGCAAACATTTAAAAGTTTATTGAATGAAAAAAGTGGTGAAATTATTATATTTTAGGAGTGAATGAAATTATGAAAAAAAATAGTGCGTAGAGTCCCTCGGCGTGGAAGAAGTTAAACTTCGCAACCTGCGACGTTAATTGTAAAAGAATCTGCAGTCGTAAAAGGATCACTAGTTCGATTCAACGACTCTTTTTCCTGCTCCGCTCGCTTCCACGCTCTGTAATCACGTTAGTCACGTTGTTAGGTAATATTGTGCATTTTTCCCTCGTGGACCTCTTGAACCAGTGGAAGTGCTTGTGGCTGCCTCATCGTCTCGTCCTGGAAAATGTATTAATGATGTATGTGAATACGTCATAANTCTATGAGGATCATGGGTCCTAATGTGCCCCATGAAAACATTGTTCCTGGGCGAGAAACCATGAAAACCTGGACGAGCCCATTGTTATAGATGGAGGGTGGTCTTAATGTAATGGCTCTTCGGTGTATATGCTTGAGAAATGATATACGAGCACGAGGGTAAAAAAAGTAATATCAGGAAAAAACTCGGAATTTTATTACATTTTCCTGTGGTTTTTAAGCCCATAAATCCAAGTATTCCTTCTTCTTTAGAGCTCTCGCCTACTCCAGGTTAATTTAGATACCCCTACTACGAGAGACAAAAGTAATCTTTCTCTTTTTTTCAACAGGCTAAGCACGTAGAATTTTGTTGTTAATTTACGTCGCACTAGAGCTGCACAATGGGCTATTGGCGACGGTCTGGGAAACATCCAGGAGGATGATCCGAAGACATGCCATCACAATTTTGATCCTCTGCGGAGGGGATGGCACCCCCGCTTTGGTAGCCCGACGACCTGCGAGCGAAGTCGAGCACTTTACGGTAGCACAGTTTAACGAGGACCAATACCGCACACCCTCGGTCCTTACGCAGACTGATCCAAGTGGGTCACCCACCCGCACACTGACCGCAGCCAGTGATGCTTGACTTCGGTGATCTGATGAGAACCGTGTCTTAACGATCAGTCCACTGCGGGACGCTAAGCACGTAGAATACGCTATATCATTCCCATTAGGCACAGTATAAATGATTCTGACTTTCGTATAATTGAACTCTGCGTTTATTGTAAGAAAATCCATGCATTCATCTTAACAAATTATGCGTTTATCTCAACAAAACTATGCGCTTATATCAGCCTCTCATCAAACATCCTAAAATTTTTACAGTTTTACCTATCCATTTATTTCACAGCTAATCGCGAAAATTTCTATTCGTATCCCGGCGTTCAAAAGAAAGGTAATGAAAGAGTATACAGACAATCATGGAGATATTTATTGCATAGGGGAAGGAATATCTCAAATTTAGCCTATTTTACTTACAACCATTCTCGTACGATATAGACTCATTTTGCCAAAAATTAGTCTCATCTAGAGAAATAATGAGAAGTATAATTTTTCATAGTTCAAGATGTGATGTTTGAGGTTCTTTATCTTATTATAGATTGAATCCGCTTAACGAGGTGAATATTATTTCTAGCCAGCATGTTAAATGTCAAGGATAATTAAGTGCTGCTTTCAATAAAAAACATTATCGATGAATATGTATTTTTTTTATTTTTCAAGATAAAAACGACAGTATTTATCGGACTAAAAGAATGTATGTCTGTTTTTATGAATACTCTCAATCCATTTCGATTGACCTGCTATATCACCTGACTTTAACTCCATAAGAAATTTGTTGGGTATTTTGAAACAGCTGGCTAAGAAATCATTCTCCTCATAGTTTAGTTAGTTAGGCAGGAGGCTAAATCTGGTTGTAACGTATTTGTAAATCCCTGTGCTTTCATTTTCTAAGCAAATTCAGACGGTTATCAAGTCCTGAACCAGAGTTATTCTGTATGAAATAGGTACTGTAGGTCTAATTTTTAATGGATTAAATTTTTTCAGGAGAGCTTTTATTGCTAATTATAAGATGGAAGTTTGTGTTAGATAGTCACAAAATTTAAA